GATGGCCCCCTTTGGAAGACTTGCCCCTGATATGTTTGAATGAGACAAAAAAAAAATAAGGAAAATATATCAAATTATAATTCAAGTTATTCTTCATTTTAGCCATTTCATCTTTGTCCATTCCCATTTTCCTCTTCCAAAAGTATAGGTGTGATATTAGATAAGTTTAACCAAGAAACTGTTGAGATTTTATTCTCCTGTATACTCCACTAATTCAGCCATATGAGACTTTATTATTATTTTAGACTTCATATTGTAAATATCATACATACTTTTAGTTACTAGTATAAGAGATTTCTTTTATTCTTCTAACCAGTATATTTACATTGTTGAGGCCTTTGAGATGTTCCTTATTCTTTTCTGTCTGAATTCACTGTGAACAAAATATGCCCAGCAATCACTAAAACAAATGTATATGGTGAAGAGTTAGGTGGTGGGGGTGGGGGGGTGATCCTCATTTAAATTATGTATGTATGGGTGAGAGAGCTTGGAAGGAAAAGGATTATTTTAATGCTCTTCAATACTTTAATTATATGACAGTTGTAGTGTAGAAATGCAAAAGTACTCTTAGGTTTTCCTTCAGGTTTTCAAAAGAACTTTCCCCATTAGTAAACTACTCCTGCAAATTGCTATTGCATTTCCCAGCTAACCATTTAAAAGACTGTAAATGCCGTGTGCATTACTTCGCTCCAGAGGAAAGAGGTCAGACTGAATTGCTATGGTATTTAAACATAAAATACAGTGAAAATAAATCAAAATAGAGCATCTGAAGGTAAATTTAGCACATTCATATGGGATAAGTAAAGACAAATATGTTCAGATCTTCATAGTCCATCACTTTAAAAACTGAAAGTGCTGATTTTTTACAATAAATGCAGAAGTAAGTGGACATTAAGAATATATTTCAATCTGTATTTGCTACAGAGGGTTTTCCTTGAGTAAGCAGCTTTGTTTTAAAACTAAAATACTTTTTAGAATAACATGTAGATTATGAATTCCTTACTGAGTAAAGGATCATATTAACAAACTCAATGCATATCACATACATGCCTAAATTCACAACAATTCCCTGGATTTACAGAGATGGATATATATACATAAATGCTAATTTGGGCATATCACATATATGCCTAAATTCACAATAATTTCCTGGACTTACAGAGATGGAGATACACACACACACACACACACACACATAAATGTTAATTTGAGCATATTCATCCACATATACACATGCATTATAGAAACTTAGAAGTTGATATATTCTTTCTTTAAAAAGAATTTGAATACAGTCCATCATCTGAATTGGGTTCATCTTTGATTGTAGAGCTGACATGGTCAACAAATTTATCAAAGAAACCCCCTGGCTTTTGAAGAATAGTACTTTATACATCTGGATCTGCACACCCAGGCAAAGTAAGTAAATTATTGCATAACTTTAAGCATAATTGATAACAGACACCTTTAATTTTTCATCCCCATTCTTTTGGCCAGCTTTCGCATTAATAATCTAAGCCATAAATGTTGGTAGCTATTGATCGAAATCCCCGGTGTGCATGCAAATCCATCTTAAAGTCCCCTGCCTTTCATGTGTGAGCGCTCAGGGACCTCTGCTAGATCTTTTTATCGGGATCGACCCCCAATGTGCCTGGAGAAGACCCCGGATATGCAACGTGTGCTGATGGCCACAAGAAAGCTGTCTGTCACATTCTCCTGTGTGTGTGTGTGTGTACACACATGCAGGAGCACCAGTGCTAGAACCTTCACACACACACACACACACACAAACACACACACACACACAAATGATGGGAAGTTAAAGGAACAAAAGAATGTATTAGACAAGAAAAAAAGATGTGTAATAGGAGTATTAAAAATGTATAAGTGTAAAAGTGTCTGAGTGCACATACAGAGACACTGCATAAATAGTATATATAGACACATTTTCCAAATTGCTTAGTCTTTATTTTTCTCTAATTGCCACAACAAATTAATACCTACAGTTTAAGAAAATATTTAATATTCTACTAGTTTTGAAAGCCACATATATTGCCAGTAATTTAAAGGTGAAAAGAGAGGAAGGGAAAGAAGAAGGTAAATTTGAAATGGTTACTAAATCACCACGTTACTATGTGCAGGAGCAATAGGAGTGTGTGAGTGTGTGTGTGTGTGTGTGCCTGTGTGTGTGTGTGTGTGTGTGAATCTAAACAAGAATCAAGAACAACTAAAACTACCTGCCCTCCCCCTAAAAAAATGACGCTCTAGCCAACCTTTTGTAATGTCTTCTCAAAGGCCTTTTTGAGTTTACTATTTCTTAGCTGTTTGACTCTGGTCTAAATCTTAAAGCTGGGGGAGGGGGAGAATGGGCGGGGGTGGGTGGGAGGGAGAGGGCTGGCAGTATATAAGTGCATCAGGAGGAATTTTAAAACGACATGATTGTCCCTGGCAATAGACTCTGGTCATTCTATTTTAAAAAACAAACACCAGCATATGATATTCCTGGAAACTTCGCTTTCTGTTTAAACCTTGTGCATTTTGCCTCCTGTGAAAGTGAAAGAGAAAAACGCGGTGTGATAGATCCAGATGCAAAAGAAAGCCAACTCGGTGGATGGTATTAGCTGTGACGAGGCATTGTTCATTGCTGCCTCTCGGTTACGTTTAAAGCCTGAAATATCACGAGATCCATTCAATGATCCTTCCCTCATTCAAGGGACAAAAATGTAATTTGCTGTAGCTCTGATTTCTTGGATGGAAATGCTAGCCTTAGATTTCAAAGGCAAGAACTAGACATCGTGGTTTGTACACACATTGATTAAGTTGAAGAGCGGCGATTACATCTGTGCTGAGTGCAACAGTAGTCCAGGGCTGACTTCTCAAATCCCAGCCTCCTGAGTTACAGACTCTCTTAAATAGACTTCCTTAATTTCCGGATGTACTTCTTGAAATTCCCAATTCTCTTCAAAATTCCTAGGAAATTACAAGGAAGATGAAGGGTGGGGGTGGGGAACTATGGCTGAGATTTCATCTTGTCAAGCAAACTACCTTTTTGTGTCTGATTCCTGATTTGGTTTTTGTGTTTGTTTGGTTGGTTGTTTGTTTGCCATACCTACTCCTGTTAGCCAGACCAGAGCAGGGAACCTGGAACTTTTGAATGTGAAGAAAGAAATTATTGTGCAATTTTTTTTTCTTGCAGGCTCAGAAATATCCGTTTATTCTTTAACCACACGGATGTGTCTATTTTTGGAGGAAGAAGGAAACATAAATGCCTGGGTTGCATTTATGCTGTAGTTGCAAACATCGAACAGTTAAGAAGATTTTACCGAATTTTGCAAAGCAGCCAACAAACCGCCTTGGGATCCTGGTAATAAAAGTGGAAAGAACCTTGCTCTCTTTTTGGCAATATTTTGGACATCTTTGAAAACGACAGCAAACTATGCCTTAATTTGACTAAGAAGAGGTTAAACCATATTGATATTCATCCAAAGTGATTTTGTTGAAGCAGATGCTTGGCTTTCATGGAAAAAATGGGAGTTGTGGAAGATTCACCTAAACTACCAACCAAAAGCATCACAGACCAATGAAATAGCCTGCAACTTACATCAGCACTTTCTTTTCATTGTTGTTATGTAAAACCTCTGGAAGCACCTTGGGCGTTTTACATTTTCTTTGCTGCAGAAGGAAGTAATCTGTTCCCTGGAATTCTGATCTGTCGTGAACAGGACCGTGGCAAAGGCTGTGTTGGGGACTCTTGGACATCCCGCCTACAATCCAGCCTGGTTAATTGTGAAAAGTGTACACATTTCTGGCTTATCTATGCTTTGTTATGGGTCTGACGTGAAACTACCTCCTCCCCACCCCACCCCCCAGCAGAAAACCGAAATCCAGTTGAATTGTTACACTGTTTCGGAGCTGGAGCCTTGAACTGTTTCCTTGGTCAAATAACTTTGTTTCTGGTTGTAAAAAGGCATTTCGGGGGGGGGGGGGGAAGGGAAAAAGGGAGAAATTCCCAAAGTGGGGGGGGGCGGGGGGGGGGGGGGGGGGGGGTCACCGCGCGGTTTAACTTTGGAGCTCGGAGCCTGTCTCCTTTCCCACTCCCATAAGGGAAATACCAGGCTATTCTGCACATTTTCGCTTAAGCTCCATTTTCCAAAGGAAAAGGGGGTGGGGTATATCTATTTGGACTTGATAATGTTTAAAAAATGCTTTTCTTTGAAACGATAATAGCTGTATCGGCAAAATGCAAATAAAGCAAAAATAGGCAATATTTCTTTAAAGGGGAATATACTTTTTTTTTTAAGCCTACACACACTGCTTCTGATGAAGTCTGTGAGTCAGGCTGTTTCTGAGCTCCGATAGTTTAATGGAAAGATTTATATACCGACTGTATTATTTACTTTGGGAGGGGAGGTGGCAGTATAAGGGTATGCTAATTAGTAGGAGATTTTGGGGGGAAGGGGTGGAATATCAATTTTTATTGCATCACCTGTCAGGAGTGTCCAATCAGCGTTGGCTTTAGGGGAATTAATTGATGAAGGTGTCTCCGGACGAGCTCACTTCACTCTGTCATTTTATTTGTAGCTAAAGCAGCGGCGGGAATAGCAGCTGCATTTCTTTTCTCTTTCTCCCTTCACATTCCATTATCATAGTGCTCCAATGGAGAAGGAATAGAGGGGCCCAGGTACTGATCTGCATCGAGGACTCAGAGCAACACACTGGCAGATCAGGAACCGGATGGTTTTTTCCCTCTTTTTAAAAAAAAAAAACGAAAAAGAAAAAAAAAAGCAAGAATCAAGTCAGTGTAATTTCATGGGGTTTTTACCCCCAATAATTTTGCCTACAGTTTAGCACTCCCTTCGCCGGGAATAACAGTCTTTGTTATTTTATTAGCAGGATGCCTTGAGACACACGCAGCATCTGGCGGAGGATTAACATACATACATGTGTATGTATGCGTCACGTATATATTTACTGCAAATGGTGGGGATCATTTAGTGCCCGAGATGGGAGACCTGAAGTCAGGTTTTGAAGAGGTGGATGGCGTGAGGCTCGGCTACCTCATCATTAAAGGAAAGCAAATGTTTGCCCTCTCCCAAGTCTTCACAGATCTGCTGAAAAACATCCCGAGGACGACCGTGCACAAGCGCATGGATCATCTAAAAGTGAAAAAGCACCACTGCGATCTGGAAGAGTTGAGGAAACTCAAGGCAATCAACAGCATCGCCTTCCATGCCGCCAAATGCACGCTCATCTCCCGGGAAGACGTGGAAGCTCTCTACACCTCCTGCAAAACCGAGCGTGTCCTCAAGACCAAGCGCAGGAGGGCCGGCCGGGCCCTGGTCACAAAGGCGCCGCCGCCAGAGCGCGCCGCCGCCGCCAGCCCCCGCCCGGGGTTTTGGAAGGACAAGCACCAACTTTGGCGGGGCCTGAGCGGAGCCGCGCGGCCCCTGCCAATCAGCGCGCAGTCCCAGCGCCCCGGCGCCGCCGCCGCGCGCCCCGCCGCCCATCTACCTCAGATTTTTAGCAAATACCCGGGCTCGCACTACCCGGAAATCGTACGCTCGCCTTGCAAACCCCCTCTAAACTATGAAACTGCCCCGCTCCAGGGAAACTACGTCGCCTTTCACTCGGACCCTGCTTATTTTCGGAGCCTTCTGTGCAGCAAGCATCCGGCCGCCGCCGCTGCCGCCGCCGCCGCCGCCGCTGCCGCCGCCGCCGCCGCCGCCTACTACCAGGCGTCGGCTGCTGGGCCCCAGCCCAAGGCGGCGGCGGGAGCCGGAGGCCCGGTGAACCTGACCTACCGGTGCAAGCGCAAGCGCGGGGGCTCCAAGGACTGCCTGCTCGCGCCCCACGCTGGCGCTCGGCGCTTGCTGCTGCTGCCCAGATCCTACAAAGCCAAGGCGGCGGCGGCGGCGGCGGCGGCCGCGGCGGCGGCTGCCGCGGCTGCCGGTGCCACTTGCCTGGAGAGGTTTCATCTGGTCAACAGCTTCTGCCCGCCTCCCCACCACCACCACCACCACCACCACCACCATCACCACCACCACCACCACCGGGCCCAGCAGCCGCAGCCGAATCACCACCCCCCTCACCACCACCGGCCGCAGCCCCATCTAGGCAGCTTTCCCGAGAGCTGTAGCAGCGACTCCGAGTCCAGTTCCTATTCGGACCATGCAGCCAACGACTCGGATTTTGGCTCCAGTTTGTCCAGTTCCAGCAACTCTGTGTCCTCGGAGGAAGAGGAGGAGGAAGGAGAGGAGGAGGAGGAGGAGGAGGAGGAGGAAGAGGGGGGCAGTGGGGCCTCGGATTCCAGTGAAGTCAGCTCGGAGGAGGAGGACTCGTCCACGGAGTCAGACTCCAGCTCCGGCTCCAGCCAAGTGTCAGTGCAGAGCATCCGTTTCAGGCGCACCAGTTTCTGCAAGCCTCCCAGCGTGCAGGCGCAGGCCAACTTCTTGTACCATCTGGCCTCCGCTGCCGCTGCAACCAAACCCGCTGCTTTCGAGGATGCCGGCAGACTTCCCGACCTCAAGAGTAGTGTCAAAGCGGAGTCGCCAGAGGAGTGGAATCTGCAGAGTTGGGCCCCCAAAGCGTCTCCAGTGTACTGCCCGGCCAGCCTGGGGAGTTGTTTCCCAGAGATAAGGAACGATAGGGTATCTGAGATTACATTCCCACACTCTGAAATTTCCAGTACTGTAAAGAGAACTGACCTGACAATTAACTGCCTGGCAGAGGGGGCCTCTTCACCTAGCCCAAAGACAAACAATGCATTTCCACAACAAAGAATACTCGGAGAGGCTAGGAAATGCCTACAAGCTACTCCTACTACACACTGTGCAGATAACAACACAATAGCTGCTAGGTTCTTAAATAATGATTCTTCAGGAGCAGCAGCAAATTCAGAAAAAGATTCCAAAATCCCTCATTGTCCTGAATTTGCTACGGATTTGCCCTCTTCACAAACTGATCCTGAAGTGGATGCAGCAGCACTAGCAGCAACTAAAGTGGAGAATCTGTGCACTGACACAGGCGACAAGACATTGTCATTTCTGCACAATATTAAAATCAAAGTAGAAGACAGTAGTGCTAATGAAGAATATGAACCTGATCTTGTTACAAATAAGCTAAAGTGCGAGTGCAATGATACAAAGGGTGAGTTTTACAGTGTGACTGAAAATAAAGAGGAGGACGCCTTGTTAACCACAGCCAAGGAAGGTTTTGCATGCCCTGAGAAAGAAACTCCTTCCTTAAATCCACTGGCTCAGAGTCAGGGCCTTTCATGCACTTTAGGTTCTCCAAAACCTGAGGATGGGGAATATAAATTTGGTGCCAGGGTGAGAAAAAATTACCGAACACTAGTACTGGGAAAACGACCTGTCCTTCAGACACCTCCAGTCAAACCAAATTTGAAATCAGCTAGAAGCCCTCGTCCTACAGGTAAAACTGAGACACATGAAGGAACACTGGATGACTTTACAGTTATAAACAGACGCAAAAAGGTAGCCAGCAATGTAGCATCAGCAGTGAAAAGGCCGTTTAATTTCATGGCAAATTTTCCTTGTCCACCATCACTCATTATTGGGAAAGATGGGGATTTGTGGCCAGCGTATTCTTTAAACACCACTAAGGATTCCCAACCTCCTCACAAGGCCCATCCTATATGGAAATGGCAGCTGGGCGGTTCTGCAATACCTCTTCCACCTAGTCACAAATTCAGGAAATTTAATTCATAAAAATGTTTTGGAAGATATTTTCTTGAACCATATTACCTTCCTTTTGTTGTAAACTGCACAGGATGGTTTGTACAAGTCCATTAATGGTGTTACATCCCCTTTGGAGTCCTGGTTTATCGCATTTTGAAGACAGAAATCGGATTACTTTTTTTCCATTGCGGGTTTTTTTTTTTTTTTTAAGTAGGGTGGGGGTGGGGTGGGAGAAGGGTTGGTTTACATACCACAGACTACTTCAGGCTAAAGACTCAAGTAAAACTCAGTTATTATGGTAGAGCTGGAACACTTTACTGTTTCAATACTAATAATGCACCGGTACCTCAATTCAACTGCTACAAATAAATGTCAAAAGGTTGAATAATAAATATTACAATGAGCCATTAAGTTTATGCACTAGATTTCAGATCTGAAAGTGTAACTGTTAATTCAGTGAAAGTTTGTTAGGTTACATGGTTACACAGTGAGGTAGCAAGAAGTTTCTGTGAGCCCAAAATGTAATTTTCTGGAGCTCTTGGTTGTGGGGTCTCTTTTTCTTTTTAATCCCCTCATTCCCTCTCCAAAAATAGTTGCACTTAACTTTTTAATTTTTTTTTTAATGGAAAGATTGGGGTGTGAGTCCTGATTACTGATAAAAAGCTGCCTCAAATAGAATAAGTAAAATATGGGATTTTTTTTTTTTTTTTTTTTTTTTT